AACCGCGTTTCGAGGGGGTCCCCCTGTAAAAATCGTATTCCAGGGGCTAAATATCTCGTTATTGAGGTCACTTCACAACCTGCGGCAACAGTGGTAAAGTAGCCCAGTTCCACGGGAAAACCGCGGACTTGGCAACACTGTGACGGATAGTAATGTCTACAATGGACACGAGCGCTGTCGCGGCACGACCACAACAGCTTGACTAATTTGGCACGGTCTCCCTGCTATACTGGTAGTAGTAAGACTTTCCTCTGTGTATACATGTCCTTACAAGTACAATTTTAGCTGAATTATTTGTGTCCGCTTCAAAAATTGCTCTTAAGAAATATTGTTTATTGTCCCCCCCAACTGTTAAGATGAAATTTACGCCCCTGCTCAGCATCGAAACTCTACTTAGAGTGTCTTTTTTATCCACCCAATTCTGTATCTGTCTATTTTCAATATCTTTTGTTTATTTTTAAAGAGGATATGCGTGTCTCCATTTGGCGTGTTTCTAAATTCCTTGTCTTGGATGTTCTCAGAGGTCAGTGTCTCCTCACACCTAAACATACCAGTGAGTGAAACTTGCTCAACATCTCCGCTGAAACTCCCAAAATCATTTGCAGTATGGCACATGAGGCGTCCCGACCTCAGCTGACTAAAGCTGCTGGAATGTGAGGTGTGTTCTGGGTGGAGGCCTCAGTGATCCTCCCAGAGCACTTCTGCTTTTTACAGGAGTTTTAACAAATGTTCATGTATGTTACACATTAAGGAAGCTTTTGATTGGTTGATGTATATCATTGGTGAAGTCTCTCGGGTTCAATCTTCAGGTGCTTCATCAGGGTACTACTACTTTGTAGGAACTTGCATGTGTTAGGAGAAATGTAATCAACTTTTCTGCTAACCACTTGTCCACAAAGGCCCTTAAAAATTACCATACAATATTTAAATATGAAATTCAACAGGGATAGTGGAGGTCTGGTCTGCAGTTTTGGTCTCACTGCACCTGGTCTCACTGCAATCCTGCCAGAGGCTCTGTGCTGTGTTCCTCACCTTACACAATACACAATACCCAGAGGACAGAGATGGAAAGAGAAGCGGTGCTGATCTGTGAATGCATATGTTGGTGGAAAAAGAGAGGGAGGGATGAATAACTAAAGGGTTGTGAGATTTCTGTCTTTGCGCTTATATACATGGTTGGGGAGTAACGGAATACATGTAACGGCGTTACGTAATCAGGATACAAAAATCTAGTAACTGTAATCTGTTAGTTACATCAAAAAACAAAGTATTCAGATTACAGTTACATTTTGTAAAAAGTGGGAATACTATCAGGATTACATTTGTTTAATTTAAAATTTTATAAAATGAGTATTTTGACATAACGCTATATACTGTATTTAGTGCTGCTTCATCATAGTTCCTGGTAGAGCCCTGCACGGGACTCAAATATAGGCCCTAGCCCGGCCTGTGTCCGACAGTTTATCAGAATTACCGGCCCGAGTCAGTCTTTTTTTCTCCTTCTCCCAAAACAGCTTATACTACTAGTTTCAGCTATTAAAATTGTTCAGTTTTGTATGTAATGGCAAAGTTATTATATTTCGTTTCCTTTTTTTAAGTTCATTTAGAAAAATGTTTGGAGCATTTTTTGTTCGTTACAAGTTTCTGTTTTTTAAAGTAACGACCAAGCGGCCAGCGGCAGACAGTGAGCTGATCATAGCCTATGTTGGATCAATTTAGCCTTCTCAGATCATCACTAACACCTAAAATAAAATCTATAGATATAAAACAGTTCAAGCATATAACAATGTTTAAACGTTAAATCTAGATAAATGTGCGCTGTATCCAATAGTTTGTGCGGAGTGCAACTAAAGCGCACTTTGTAGGACATGGAGGCGCCAGCGCAATCACTTGCATTTTTTCAGTGGATACGCAGTCATATTTGCTCATAAAGGTAAGAGTAATACATCATTCGGAACTGTAAAGGGTCTACTTTTATTTGTGTGCACTCACAATATCAACAAAACGTTGTGCTTTTATAAAATAAAGAAAACAAACACGATGCGCTTTCTGCCATCTCATCTTGAACAGGAGCGCTTCACAAAAATGAACCGAAACTCAGCGAATAGATGCCTCACAGACATGATAAATATATCTATAGAAAGCTTTAAATTACTACTTAACGAAATTAAACAAATCAAAAACAAAAACTCTTTCATTATGATCATAATCATAATCCGTAAAGATGCACTTCTCTCTAAAGGCGCGTCTAATGAGGAGATGGCGAGTCAGGATCGACAACTTCATCCTTGCGACACCAACTCAGAAAACACTAGTTTATTAGTAAATAATTCAAATATCTCCTTACCATTTCCACCCTACACATTCATGGTAATTACTTTTGCCGGTGCTTTGCGGCAAGCTTTAGCCTATTGCATGCATTTGAACGCAGAACTGTTCAGCTGCGCTGACGGCAAGATGACGTTAAAGATGCGCTCCTGGAGGAGATGCTGGCAATGCCTGATGAGCGGAGTGATGGCGGGGATGGAGAAGGTGCCATGCGTACCTCGGCAGCTGGAGAGGGAGAAGAAGGAAGTGCACCATCTCCTCCAGAAAAAAAAAAGAATCTTGCAGACCTGCTTGGAAAGAGAAAAGCACAGTCCTCCAATCCGGTCCCAAAAAGAATCCGTGCAGACACTGAAGTCGCAAGGTATTTGCAGGAGGAAGCCCTCGATCTGCACTCTGATCCGCTTGCCTGGTGGCGGGATAATCAGGCTCGATTCCCTCTTCTTTCGAAAGTTGCCAGAAAATATGACTATATGCGCTACGAGCGCTCCCTCGGAGCGTGTATTCAGTGCGG